CATCAGGAAGCAACGAAGACACTTGCGACCCAGTCCAAACACGAGCTCTGCATCACAAGATGCCAGACAAAATCCAGCCAAAGAGTTCCATCATCACGACGACACGTCTGCATCGAGCGGTCATACTGGAGCCTCGATACAATGGGATCTACTTCACCTTGGAGAAGATTTGACACTCGATTTTCCAAACATCCAACACATCTTTGAAGCGATAGATCCCCAACTAGAAGACAAATCCACCGGCAACGACAGAACCTACGTCGAAACACCACTATGGCCCCTTCAAGACCGTCAGGAAGCCTTCCTCTACAGATACTTCGTCGACAACCTCGCACCTCTCTTCGACATGTGCGATAACGATAGACACTTTGCCAAGGTGGTGCCGAAGAGAGCAGTCTACTGCCCGACACTACTGAACGCGATGTTTTCAGCTTCCGCAAAACGTCTTAGCCGAACAATTGGCGTTGATGGAGTCATTGCCGATCGATACCATCAAATATGCCTTCGCTCGTTGATCCCGGCGCTCTCGTCCTCTACCGCCGTCGTTGACGACAACCTTCTGGCTGCTGTTGTAATCCTGCGCTTCACGGAAGAAGTCGATATCGGTTCCATGACCCTCGAGTCCCATCTGATGGGTACTAGAATCCTGCTGGCCGCCCAAGAAAACGCCGCCGATTTTAGCGGTCTGCGACTTTCTGCATTCTGGCTCGCCCTCAGGCAAGAGATATATATGGCCTTCGTTCACACACGCCCAGTCTATCACAGCTTCTTCCCCAGCATCAAACGGATACAGGAACGCGGTAACAGCGACGAGAATGCCGTGGATTGCCATTATGCCAACAAAGCCGTAAGCATTTGTGCAATGTGTCTAAGCTACTGTTACGGCCAGGAAGACAACCATGTAAGAAGTTATGCGCAATTGAAAGAGGACCTTGATGTATGGTGGAAAGAGAAGCCATGGTACTTCGACGCCATGTGGGCAAATCCAGAACCTGGTTTTCTGCTGGAAGAACAGTACATCACCGATGCCGCTGTCGCTGGGTTACAGCACTATCACCTGGCACGGATGCTCTTGATCGCCCACAACCCTAAGGTTGCGAGGCTTGGTACGGCTTTCCGGGCAATGGAGGAAGAACTCAAACAGACCGTTCGTGTGATATGTGGCCTTGCAGTGGTAAGCTTGCGGTTTATCGACGCCATCAATTTAGGGGAAGTTGCCTGCTAACTGCCTGCTGCTCCGTATAAAGGCGAACGAGAGAACACCTCCAGCATACGTGTAAGTGCCATCAAGTGGCAAGCAAACACCCTCCTCAAACATCTTTTGACCGACGCGATACAATAGGAACGCATGCATAGCAATCACCATGGCGGGCGATCGTTTCACAGATCGGAAAGAACAAGAGGAGTTGTATAAGATCCTTGTCAAGACTGACAGGCGGTTGGGGTGGCCGACTCATGCAGCGTAAGTAGACCCTCGCGCCAGCCCTTTGGCCACTGCAACACAACACTAACAGCGAGCAGACAGTCTCAGATCAGAGAGGCTTGGGGCTGGGAAGACTCCCCATCACCCCCTGCGATGCCTATTGCGGCCATGTTAAACGCCCGCGCACGAGCTGGGACCGCGGATTGATCAGAGTCGACCAGCGAGCAAAGCAAGCTCTAGCGTTCTGTATAAAACTGTTAGTTGATAACGACTCGTACTTGCTCAACCCTTGCAACTACTTCACTTACTTGCGTAAGGGGTCGAGAAACAATTTACTTGGCATTGTCTACCAGATGACTACACTCTTTGCAAGCCTTGCTCCGTCTGCCCAAGTACATGTTTACATTGGTGACTACATGTGATTATTCTTCCTGCTTTGACTCCCTGCGCCAAACCTTCAAAGGCATTGGACTCGGCATCAGGTTCATGGCCTCCCGCCTTTCCGGTTCCCACGCGGGGAAGGGCAAGGCGAAGTTATACCTGTGCAAGACACTCGCCAACAAAACCGTCTGCTCCAGGTAACTGATATTCCGTCCGATGCATCCTCGTGCGCCGGCACTGAAACTGACAAAGTACGGTTGCAGTTCCTTGCCCTTGTCACCGAGCCAGCGCTCCGGGATGTAGGACTCGGGTTCCGGGAAGATCTTGGGATCTCTGTGGACGATGTAAGCCGAGATGGAAACCGTCGTACCTCCAGGGATGAAATCTCCAAGAACATACGCCCCCTCAGGCGGCGTTCGTCGCGGAAGACCAAAGGTCGTTGGCGGCACTATCCGGAGAGACTCGTCGAGACACGCCCTGAGGTACGGCAAGTGCTTGACCTTGTCGTAGGGCGCAACCACCTCTTCAGGATCCAGAACGGCATCAATTTCCTCGCGCAACTTTTCCATGCATCTGGGATTCTTCAATAGCCAGTACATGACGTTGTTCATGGCGATAGCTGTTGTGTCTGAGCCGGCATTCATCATGATGGACACCTCTGCGACAATCTCGCCCCAGTCGAGCCCATTAGGGGTTCCGTTTTTATCTTCCATCAAAGCCTGGAAGAAATCTTCCAACTTTTCGCCAGCCTGGTAGCGTTTCAGTCGTTGGGTTGCGCGGTGGTAGACGATGCCGTCCCATCCCTTGTTCAGGTTCCACCATCGACGAAAAGTTGGCGAGATCAGAGACGTCAGACGATGATTGAACTTGTACCAATCACCAGCCCAAACGGTGATGGACTGGGCGACGGCAGTGGAATGCAGGCAGGCTCTGTAATTCACCTCGTGAATGGATCCGTCCATGCGCTCGGCGCGCACGAGATCATGACCCTGGTCTAGAAACCCCAGTTTCTCAGACAGACCTATATCAGCGATAGCGTCGAGAGTGAAGTAGTTCGTCCACGCTCGGTAATCGAAAATAAGATCGGCCGCGTCTGGACGAAGATCCCCCTTCAGAGGCTGGGTACAGGCCTTGTCGCAACCGACGATGAAGCGTTCAGTCTTGTCAGCCACTTTGTGTTCCCAGTTCTCGAGGTTCTTCAATGCGTATGCCGCCGACAGGACCTTGCGTTTCCGGGCGTGGTCTGCCTTATCGACTACGTCGGCTAGGTGGAAGTGAGTTCCAGCCAACGTCTCGTAGAACTCGCCCTTGAGACACTTGGTTCCGTGCCCGTAGATGTCCTTGATTGCATCAACGGTACCGTACGAAAGCGAGTTGGGCCCAGTTCGAAGCACCGGATGTTTCTTGTGCTTCTCATAGAGAGTCTTGGATCGGAAGCCGAGTGCAGCTTCGCGCATGAAAACTAGATTGGTCACGCCGGCTAAAGGCTTGAAAGCCGGAAATCGACGAAGTCTTTTGGGGTCTCGGAAGTATTCGATCAAGGGATAGACGATGAAGTAGGATAAGACGCTCAGCAAAGCTGCCAAGGGAAGTACAATTGCGTACATGACGAGGTCCTATCTCAGCTGGCTTGGAGGGCTTGTTTGCAGAGGTCCGGTGTAAGGAGTTTGATACTTCGATTCCGACGCTAGCTAGCACATCAGCACGGCATCTCACTTGTGATAGCGAGCTTTGAAATAGTCATTCTGTCCGGTGCAATCAGCTGACTTCAAGATCAAACACGAACGCAACGGGATATGTATCCCGCGGAGTGCCAGCTTTGGAGACATCACAATAGTCATTCTCATGCTCTTCAGGCGCCTCTAGTGCAGGCGGCCAAAGGCAAGAGGACGACAAATTGCCTAGTTCGTCACCCGAGGGGTCCCTGTCAGACGAAATTGGCGTCTTCTGATGGGTCCAGATCAATGCCCACGGCACATGGCGACGTTGACCATCTCTAGTCTCAAGCACTCCCCGCATGCCAAGATCGAGTTGATCGGACCCAACTTTCCTATCCAAGACGTCTCGGATTGGAAGTTGCCTATTTGGAGAATACCCCACGTTCAGGCGTGGCATTTGTTCAGGAAAGGAAACTTGTCAGCCGCAGTAGATCGCGCGACTTGCCTATTTCACTTCAGATAGGCAAGCCAATTCCAGCCTAGGCAAGTCGGCAGTCATGCATCGCGCCGCGTATTTCCAACCTCGATGTCCCGCCCACATGGATAGTTACACAAGCGCCGGGAAGGTTTGGATGAAAGCTCGACGACAACTTACCTTGAAGACCTCGATTCTTGACTCCTAAGTACAGGTACTTGATGACGGGGGGTAGCTTTTTTTCACCCCCCCCCCCCCCCCGCGATGTCCAACTAGCCACTTGCAATCGAAGGGCTCTTTACGTTTCGCTATCAGCCCAGAGTCGCCAACTGGAGAAGACAAATCCAATAAAGTCCTTCACAAGCCCATCGATACCCACGCGTTAGTGGCCTTTTCTCATTCGCTATCAGATGACTCTACCGAAAAGCCACAATTGATTTCTTTCCGAAAAGACTTGTCACCCATTGGAGTGGCATTGGCCTAATCCTTGTCGTTTTATTGCACCTAAATAGCGGGATGCTGACCCATCGAGTGAGTGCCTTTCTAAAATGAGCCTTTCCACTCAGTTCAGGTTAGATGTAGTCACGATTTCCGAAACAAGATCCTGCGTCAGAACCCTTCGCCGACTTTTGTAGTTTTGTCTCACTGGCTTGAGTACCGGTCAGTGATGATCTGCCTACCCAAACCTAAGATTTGATCCCCAACTCTTCCACACTGAGTGGGGGTCATCTCCGTTCAAGATAGTTTTCGTCTTTCTCATCATGAAGTCGAGTTTCTAAACTTATTCCCATCACCATTCGTCGTGTCAGGGTTGCCGGAAGTCATACTGACGAGACCTCCAACTTCCTAGAGGAACGATTGTCCCAATTCAACACATGGTACTTATCCGCTGCATTCTCATAGGTACCTTGATTATTCTGGTTATTGCCAATTCCCGGAACACCTTCACTTAGAGAGTGTTACGAACTCAGCAAAACGATATGACTGCAACTCCTCCACAACACTTATCTGCCTATTGTTTCCTCTTTCCCCAATTATCCCAGCCTTGATGGTCTTGGGTACTTCATCGGGGACTCTCACTCCTCCTCGGGGATTGAGCATCTGAGCATCCGCCATTTTGTTTACGTGTTCCTCTAGAGACCCACGGTGCCAAATGCTTCAAGTCTCCAAGATCCACTTCTTCGGGCTGCTCGTCCGGTGGCCTATTATCACCATCCCGACTTGAGTGATTTGCAACTAGTGCTTTAGTATCGCGTTCTTCCTTTACGGCGGGCAACACACCGGTTGAATGGTGTCCGATTCCCAGATCCACATGGCTAATGTCCCGAAGAGAATGATCAGGCTCATCGTTGTCGTTGTCAACAGAAATTAGTTCGTGCAACCGATCGCTCGGTCGCAAGACACTATCCCCAATAGTCCTCATTCTCGGCCTAGCACCAAATATGGAGCTTACATTTTGAACTGTTCGTTTCCTTCGTAAAAATAGACGACGGAAATAGTCTCTAAAGGCAGGCATGCAAGAGCAGAAGATGAAGCCGTTCAACTCGACGAATGACCAGTTAGAGATTGGCACAATGTCCCCTAGTAAGCGTCAGTACTCGCGTTTGCAATAAAACAACCAACTCACATGTCGGATTCGAAGTCTTCATGAAATCTCTGATAGAGCTGAGCCTCAGAATGGAGACAAAGGTGATCCTACAACGGATATTAGCTCTTATCAATCCCACATTTCCGGGTTCCGCAGGGCACAACTCACAACAATGCTACAGCGAACATCATACCGGCCCCAACCTTCTGTCTCCATCGCCAGTTGAGCCTGACGATTTGAGAAATGGGCATCGCTACTACAATAACATCAAGAGCAATATTGACCGATGCATGGGCCCAAGTCTGGATATTAATATCGTGGCAACGGCCTTGGTGTTCTCCATCCCACTTAGTCCAGGTGTAGCTGATGGGCCAGCACTGAACTGAAGTCGCAACTAGGAACGAAACGGCTGATATGACGCATGCCCATATGACACCCCAAGTCAAGCGCCTAAACTTTTCATCGGAAAATAGGCGCAAGTAGAAGAACAGGAAATTTGTCTTCGCAAACATGACGGTGAATGCATAAAAGTGCTCTCCGATGTAGAACAGCTTGGCGAGTCGGGTAAGCTTGGACTCTTCTCTTTTTGCAAACCTCATTGTCTACCATTGCACTTACTTTGAAGAACTCGTTGATTTGCTCCGGTGTGAGTGTCCAGATGTCTTTTCCGAGGCCATTTTGAACCGCTGCAACACGGGTTAGATCCCATGCCAGGATTCCGTCCTCCGTGTATGACTGGGGACGGCTTACTGAACACAACAACCACGCTCATAGGTACTGACATCAACTAGACCAATTTTACTTTAGTCAAGGTACAGGTCAAGTCAACATTTTGTCGTCATAGAGAAACATACCATTGAGAAAATGAGGGCATAGTCATCCAGTCCAATCATGTAATCCAACCGTGAGAGTTGGGAGTACATGCGGACACCAACACTAAATACAGCCACAATAGCCCCTGCTACGGCACTCGCAGTGGCTGAGGCACCTCTATCTCGATTGGGAAGTCCACAAATGTCGAATAGGATTCTTTGGCTCTCTGCATTTATCAACATGAATCCTGTTAAAGGCGTCGAAGGCGGAGAGGCGCATACTTAGTCCATCGACGACTGAGCAGTTTTGATAGCTGCAACCGATTATTCCGTACAGTTGTTGCTCTACGCAAAGAAATTTGACGGCGGTTTGTGCACTCGTCGCTGATGCGATTATTGTCGAGACGCATTGACTCTGAAAAGCGGCATAGCATCAGCAGTCGCATGAAGACTCGCGACTTTGGCGTGACGATCAGGGAACTTACCGCGCATTCCGCCAGAAGGCTCTCGATACCCAAGCCCTGGGGTATGGCACTTGACACTGGAGTTGAGTCCATCATTCATCTCGGTAAGTCCGGCCAACGACAACTTCGACAAGACTGGGGATTGGCGACAAACCAAGCACGTTGGTCGCAACGTCTTTCGATAAAGACGTTGATAGTTGCAGACGTACACAGGTGCGTAACTGGGCCGATCCGTATTTGAAAGATCTTTTCTTCGAAGAAGATTCCCCCATGTTCGCCCTGAGATTCCACATGACGTTGCTTCTCTATTTACGGCGGTGCTTGAATCAGAGCTACCCCATTTCATTGTTGACATTTGGTCAATCTAAGCTCTATTGAGATTCAGAGTGCAACGGCTCAGTCAGGATCAGGCTCTTGCGCCAATCAATTATGTCCGATGTGCACTTATAGTTCAGCCGGTGCCATCTTAGCTGAGTGTCGGATCACTTTGAATTTCAGTAGTGGGCAAAGTTGGGACTAGCACGCCATAGCACAGGGACCAGCGTGCTGTCGAATGCGTGCTTCAGGGGACAGACAGGCTTCTCCGCAGGGCAGAAAATGTGCTGAGAAAGGAGAAATCAGACTTCAACGTTTCTACAAGCATCAATCAGATGACTCTTGGCAACACAACCAAGGTCAACCCATATCGTTCTAATGTAGATGCAGCAAAACAGTCGCTGTTCTGCGTGATATTCTTTCTAGCTAGAAATTGCACAAGTTGCAGGGCAAATGGGCACAACAACGTGTTTCTTTTTTCCCTCTGCAACTCTTCCATCTTAGCGACAACTTAATGGCAAGATGGCAAGACGAGGAATTCAGACTTTCTAGATTGCAACGCGTGCGTAGCTAGAAGTAGTGCAGCAGCGAGATGTATTTGGTTTTGACCAAGTTAGTACCGTCATACAATTGCTTCAGTGACATGTTTGCGTTCTTGTTTACCCTTCTACCTGAAACCCGTGGCTGACTCACTTTGAGCTACATTGCAGAGGACAGCGACAAAAGAAGCCATGCATAACGTCACAACAATTCGAATGATGACTTCGAGCAAGCCCTCTGAGCGGCTAAACGGTGATGACTGAAGTTTCTGTATAAAAGCTAGCATAACGCTGTGGAGCTTGCAGTCTCGGAGCCAAGTATTCCCCTCCGTCGATCCCGGTACAACAGGCCGACTAATTACATGTATTGCAGAGGAAGAAGAGATGTAGACGTTTCCGAGATGTGTTGACAAATCATCGTGCTTTGATAGTTCTCCTCGTCTCTACCTCTAAACACCAACGGGAGTCTGGCAAAGGACACCCTGGTTGAGCTATGGTAATGATTGTTAGAAGACGAGAGGCAGACGTTTATCTTCGATTTGTACTACTCACAACGGGAAGAACACAGCAGCGGGCTTGTTGACCAGCCTTGTGACAGATGTTTTTGAAGTCGCTGGCCGAAGTCGGCACGGTCGCGGCTGTTGGCAGAGCTATTAGCATCGATCACTTCACCTCCCTCTGGTTTCGTTCTGACTCACGAGGAGCGCAGTTAAGATTAGCAACTCCCAGAACATCGGTGGCACAGCACTGAAGACTGTCGTAGAGACCAGAGCAAGCATCGTAGGGAGCAGAGCCACCGCCAGTGTTGCCGGTGGGAATGGCGATGACGGCAGTGGCCAAGATCGAAACGAGAGTAGTAGCGAACTGCATTTTGAAAGCGATGCGATGATTGAGTGAGAGTCTTGAGTGACCGAAGAAGAGCTGGGAGCTGCAGGTTGCTTTGAGTAGGAGATAGAAGAGATGGTTAATTATGATGACTAGATATTGATTGAGAAGCCTGGCAACTGCAGACTTTATATATTTGAGTCCAATTGTCGCCGTCACTGCTCATACGACTAAACAGATCAACTTGATAAATGGTCCTCTTGCATTTCCGCTACCATGTCCACTATTTGTGCAAAGTCCTGCGGCATAACTTCACCTCACCATTGACACCATTTCACAGTCATCGTCGGACCAAAGGCACACGATGAGGTTTGTGAAGTTTTCGGCAATTCGGTAAGAAGAACTCATTGCCAACGACTTGCGTGTGCTTGGCAATATTGGCTTGGCTGTCCACTTTTAGTCCGAGAAACTGAGGTGTAGGTAAATCCACCTAACACGAGCTACATAAGGCGGGAGCGGCTACTCCCGTGCGCCTAACAACGTGAGAAGTGATAAGGGATTCTGCAAAATCCCCGAAAAAAGTAATGTCCAACTTCATGATGCTGTTCGGGGATGCAGTTCGTCTGAATCCGGGTGGAGTGAAGGCGTTGGTCTAGTCCGGGATCATAATGAAATTCGCCTACAGCCGCTCCCGCCTGTCAAATGCAACATTCCCCGCCCTCAGCTCGACTAAAAGCGAATGAGGGGAAGAGGCGCTTCTCAGCCCAGCCTTCGACTGGGAATAAATGACAATTGTGACGCTGCAAGTACAGGCATGCCTGCAGATGATCAGCGCTGTCTACTGCCTCGTACCTTGTTTCGTGAATCAGGAGAATCTTTCCGTAGACGAAGTATAGTAGAGCAGGAAGGTAGGTTTATGCGGCCAGGGTAACTAACCATTTGTGCAACGGGTATGCTGATGTGCATAAGGCTGGGCCCGTTGCTTTGAAGAACTTACTAGGAATATTTAGCATCTTTCAAGACGTATTATCATTGTAATTAAACCTGCGCTCTGGGACTTTGCTGCTGCTGCTTACGAACTGTTGCGATGAGCTCTGAATCTGGGTTCCCCTTGGATATAACCACTCCATTTCCATAAAGAGAATGCAGAAGGCATGAGATCTGTGCAAACTAAGCCAAAGGTTCAGAAATGTGTTGGCAATTACCCATCCTGATTCATCAATCATATCCGTTGAAAGATGTCCTGCATGTTCGACATTGAAATTTGAAGATCCACACCGGTTGTTCACGCATGATAAGTCACACTACTATGCATGGGTTAAGCGTTCAGTCCTAGTAAACGCCGCTTTACATGGGTTGTGGACGAGGCGGGTAGAGGCCTGCAGCAACCTAGAACCTAAATGCAACAATAATATTCCCAATGCTACCGAATCAATGATCAAGACCCAAATTTGCAGCGCAAAGATTTTCTAGGCAACGCGCAAATGAACCAGGTGATGTAACATAGAGAGAGCTAAAGCGGACACCACTGCGATATCTGCAGACCATGGCCGTCTGGTCCTTTTCCGTCTGATCATTAATCGTCATGCTTTTACAACATATTCCAAGAAGTTGACAGGCAACTGAGACCTGTGGATCATGGCCTAGGCTTTGTGTCCCACAATTTCCGCCACCTCGTGCATCCGGTCTTGCATCCGGTCCTGCTCTTCGAATTTTTTCACAACTTGCAGAGTGGCAAAGTAACTGAATGGTAGAGCGATGAACCAAAGACCGCAGTTGATGCTTGCTGTAGCAATAAGGGGGGTTGGAACGGCTTGGATCCCGAAACCCACTGCTACCGCTGCCGTCTCGATGCCACGAAGCAAAGAGCTATACCGAATCTGGTCGCCGGGCGAGTCCGACAGATTTCCGATTGCCCAGTAGATAAAGTTCTCAATCATGCCAAGAGACGCTCTTTCCAGCATATAGAGCCCAAATCCGCGTCCGAACTCGCTCTGAAGGGCCCAATCCAGGACAGGGAGCGTGAATCGATACTCATTTTGGATGATGACAGCCCATATCCAGGTTGCAGTGTTGAGACAGACAATCAGCGAATATGTTGCTAGAGCTCGTGTCTGACGATTCTTGGACCACGGGAGATCCACAAGTGATCCTCCGAGCCATGTCGAGAAAGTGCTTACAATAGCTGCAACGAAACCACCTAGCGCTCTCGAGCGCACGCTGAAGTATGTTGCAAGGTAGGTACCAGGGTATGCTTGAATCCAGCCAAAGTACCAGAATAGAGGTGTCAATAGAAGAATTGAACGGCTCCTGAGTAGCTTCCACATCTCGAGGAGCTCTGTCCGCCAACGGATCCCTCTCGGCGCTTCGATGCGACTTCCGTCATCCCGCATGACCTTGTCGGGGTTGGATAAAAAGAGACCCAGGAAGAAACCGAGACATTGTATGCCGATGAAGGCAAGGTACAGCTCGTATCCAACCTTGCCCTTCTGATCAACCTTGTGGTTGAGCGCCAGCGAGATGGCGCCACCAATAATCATGCCAAAGTTGCGGAAGGTGAACCACGTCGCGACGTAACGGCCTCGCTTGTGGTATTCAGGATATCCCGTAGCGATCGCTCCCTCGACGCTGTAGAAGAATCCAGCACTTATGCCGCAGGCAACCGAGCCGAAGTAGACGAGCCATGTTCCACCTGTCCGATTGTTGACGTAAAGGCCGGCTGCATAGAGGGGATACCCAAGAGCACCGACTGCCAAAGTCCAGCGGAATCCAATCAGGTTGGTAAGGAACGGGCCAGCGAAGCAAGTCAACGTCATAAAGGCGTAAAGTAGAGCATTCGCTGCGTTGACCAGATCTGGACTTTGTGAACCGCCGACGCCGAGTCCATTCATAGCACTCCATATTCCCGGTGCACAGAAAGCACAGAGACCAACGATGAGTATCTGAAAGAGAGTACTCCTGAGAAACGACATGGGTTGCGACGGAGACAGCGACTGGTTGCCGGGCTCGATTTCTGGCTGGCGAAGGCCGGCCACCTCGACAGACATGACTGGCTAAATTGCTGACAGGTACGATGGTCGAATTTTGACTCGAATATGCTTGATGATGAATTGAAAAGGTTTGACGGCAGCGAGACAAGACCCCCTCTTCGAAGACCTTGATGGTTGCAGTTGCTGGAGGGCCAACCTTTATGGGCTGGTGTAAAATCGGAACCTCCTCAGGCAACTATTTACTTCACTTAGGGACTTAAGATAGACCTCAAATCCGCCTCTGTAAAATGCCCACTGCATGAGATTTGCTTGCAGGGTCACGAATTACGTGCTCAAGTTTCGTCCCGACGTCGCACCAATCGACAGTCCTGAACCAATCTCATGAGCCTTACGAATGGTAACCCAGACCCCGCATCGGGGACGGTCGGAAGCAGTCAATACGAATCTTTATCCGTTGGGAAGACTTGTTCATCGTAGGTCATATATGGAAGAGCCGGCGTGTAGCTCATTCGCCGTCGATGAGTTGCCTAAATGCTAGCAACATGGAGCTAGCAAGAGGATCGCATGTATCCATCATACAAAAGAATTTGCGTTCTCTCTTGCTTAGAATACGGTACTCGGAATATCGCGATATCGTTTCAAGAATGTATGAACCCTGAGTCCATAACGAAGAGCGAAGTTAAGCATGTGTTTGGGCCTTGATACATTCAACCTCAACTGCAATGAACCAATCCTATCGGAGGACGCGGGTATTGATAACCGGGGTAGAGATATCGATGCGACTCTCGCCAATTGGCACGAAGCCCAAAATAACGTGATTTTAGCTTCGAACGCATCAAAGCACATGCTACAACTTCCTCGGGTAGGTATATAACTTCCCGTTCCATCAATCTCACGTCGCGGGCGCTTCCATCAAACCCATCCTACATCCAGTACCTGCACGTTGTCCCAGACTGCGATCATCGGCATCGAAGCGAATACTTCCTGCTACAGTTGCCGCAAGGCACGCAATCACAATGACGATTTCAATCATATCGAATGTTACCGAAGGCCATAAAACAACCAATCAACTCAATCCCTCCATCGTATTTGAACAATTTCAAGATTTACCCCAGACAAACCAACGACTTCTGGGCGAGCCTCATCCCACTGGCACTGTGACACCACTGGCATTGAGGCCTTCCGGTCAACACAAAGATGTTCAGTTGCATGAGGTCATCCATGCTGTAGAATCTCTTCAGACGCAGGGCGAACTCACCAAGAAACTCGCCATTCATGGGGTGCTGTTATTCAGAGGTTTGCCAATCCATGGCGCCGAGGATTTCAGCAAGTTCGCACACGCTTTCGGGTACAAACCACACGAAATCATTGGCATTGTAGTCGACAGACCATTGTTGGCACCAAACGTGGCACCTGCGAACGAAAGCCCAAGAGAAGTTCTCATCTACAACCACAATGAGTCACCCCAGGTCCCGCATGCGCCCGAATACGTTTTCTTCTATAACCACAAGGCGCCCGCAAAAGGGGGCGAGACCCCCATTTCTTCATCACTGGAGCTCTTTCAACGAGCCAAGGATGAAATTCCGGAGTTCATCCAGGCACTGACGGAGAAGGGAATTCTAAGCAGAGTTACCTATAAGTTCGACCAGCAATATACAGGAGGCTCAACCCTAGCACAAGCCTTTGGAAAAAACTTCTTGGACGGTGACAGTGTGACCAAGAAGCGCGAGAAGATTGAGGCACAGATTGCTAGATATGGAAGAGGCCAGCATACGACGTGGGAATGGATAGACGACGGCGTGATCCTGACGCATAGGCTACCCGCGATTCGTACCCAGCCAGGCACGGGACTTCCGACGCTCTTCACCGGATTAGCCGCCTACTGGAAGAACTCTCAAGGCGGACAAGGGGCCAGAAAGGAAGTCACCAAACAGCTCTACGGCGACGGCACGGCAATCCCAGACAGGTATCTAGAACACTTAGCGAAGATCACAGATGAGATCCGAGTACTCCACAAGTGGCAACAGGGCGACGTTCTCGTCTTCGACAACGTTATTGCTCAGCACGGCAGACAGCCTTGGGAAGGCGAACAATCGGATCGTGTGGTGCTAGCTAGTCTATTCGATGGAGACAGTGTGCCTGGAGCATATGGTGACGGCGACTGGGCCCAGGTCGTTCAGGCCTTGGACGGTTGACGATGTTGAAATTGGATGGGTATCTTGACAAGAGGCGACACACTTGACTTGTCTTCACGATTAAGTGAACGGAGACTCTATAAAGAAAATAATAAGATGGGGTGATTATGATTATATTTCGACTAATGTCCACATTGCTTTCTTCAACAAAACATGAACTGAACCCAAATGTGCTGCTGAGGCTGTCAGAGGTGGTTGGCAATTTGGGCCATGGCCCAGATTTTCGTGCAGTCTAAGGGGCTACTACTGTCAGACTAGTCGCCTCGAGCTTAAACTAGGTGTGAAATTTTGATTGGAACTGAGGGAGTCGACTGAAATCCCAATCATTCTCCCTTGCAGCACCCTTTCGTTACATGAAGTCTCCATTAGGATTCCTAAGCTCACCCCTTGCCTAGACCATAGGAATGGGGAGCTCACACCATTTCCGAGAACTCAGGCACCAGGAACGAGGACTGTTGAAATCGTCCCGTCGTCAAATTTTACAGGTTGAGCTCTTTATCCATCATACCTACTGCCTAGTCTCTCTTGTTCCCTTTGCGAATTGCACATCGGTGATCCGGTCTCTCAGCCCCTTCATAGTATGGAATAGAGCTCAGCCTATGCTCCCTAAAAGCCTGCGACACATCCTGGAAGCTCCAATATCGAGACGCAAGAAGAGTGAACTTTCATTAAGTTTTCAACGCTAAAACATCCGGGGCTTAGAGAGAGCCACAGCTAGTTGCTATCGAAGAATATGAAATAACGACCAGTAGCTGTTCCGCACATCATTAAGCTACTGAATACTTCACACGGGGCAACAAAATTAAAGGTAAAGAATAAAGCAATTGATGTTTATTGTGTTGTCGGCTGAGTCTGGATCTACTACGGGACGCGGGTTGAAACCGGTTCAAGGAAAGAGCATTCAAGTTCACATTTGTGGTTTTGCTACGATGAGCTCCCTACAGAAAGGGCTTGATCTCTAATTGGCCTTTCTGGTGCGCTGGGGTAGTACATATCATATCTTGTTTCCAGAGCAGGACAGTCCTTCATCACTTCAAGGCTTCTTCATCGATTCATGATGACGACATACTAAGAATCCTAGACCGGAGACGGGCATTGATCCATAATGATTTATTCAGGAAATCTTTCCAAAAACGACAAGATATTAGTAGAATCTTAACTGATCATACTTTGAGGTCCCCGGATGTACACTGGGAGTTCAGTAGACAATTCTTCCATGGGCTCGAGAATCGACTTTCTATCGTGGCTATGCCAAAAAGGCCGTACCTTACGGGGTTTCTTCACACAATTACAGGCAGTGGCGGCATGCCGTTCCCAAGATACTAGTAGTTGTGGATGGCGTATCGACCTCTTTCTCTGTTCCAGTATGGACTAGACGATAGATGCATGATTCTATTGAGACCGCATGAACCTTGCTCTGAAAAGTCTGAAAAGCGTTCGGCCTAGCGAATTGGGCCGTGACGTCGGAACAAATAGTTATCTGTCTCAATACAATTGGTATCGCAATCCAGTAGCACCCGACATGATGTTTACCCTGTTGTCGTTTAGCGTCGTTTCGAGCTCCAGGTGCGAGATTCTTCCGCGAATGTGTGCGTGGCTCAATGGAGGCCGAGATTGATGGCCACATGTACAACGACTTCAGAGGTGGTCTAGCTGAAGATATTTTGGAACAGTGGATGAAACTGAAATGTTCAAATCGGAGGAAATCTTAAGGACTCGACCGTCGATCTGACACTACGGACAGGGCATATTCCGCAGTCGACTGCACCGCCAGAGTCGTGAGGACACGTTGAGTAACCACATCTTGCATTGAGATGGTTTGAGGGAAGAGAGTGGTTATTTATGTCTGAATACTAAGTGTCTCCCTTGAGTCGTGGTAACCCCAGTGCCCTGAGGCATCTTCTTGGATGTGGTGGGGGCTTCGGCTAGGAGCAAGGGAGGGACGAGGCGAACAGTCAGCCCGTAGCTCCACGGACGACATGTGCCAAATCAGGGAATGCACGTGACTTTGAGGCTTGGGAAGTGTCAAGAGATGCATATTGCGAAGGCGTGTACAGGATTTAAGTATCAGAAGATGAGAAGGGACATCGAATTGTTGTCATTACCCAATCTTGTTTGTGATATAGTCGCTTGATAAGAATTGCTAACAGTTGCATAAAATTTATCTTAATTGATTATGAGAGTTAATATGCATTATCTGCAATGTTAAGATACGAATAGTCACCCAGAATATTCTCCAGGCATCCAACAAATACTACTCAGATCATGATTCACTCGAAAGCTGTCCAAGCCAATACAAATATCAGACCTAAACAATTGAAACAGCACTCACTATGCCTGGCTTCATCGACGAACGGATAAGCGGCCGATATTAGATACTGAGGTTATATTCAAAACGTAAAACCATCAAGCTCTTTAGCCTTGCGAGACGAGGGCATAGATCTTCCATGGTATATTCTTTGAGAAAACATTATTCCTTGACTTCTTGTTTTAAGACGCCATGACATCCTTCCGTTGCCTCGGATCACTTCAGGTCACGATAGGTGACTTGGGCATCTGCCTACTTTACTCGATGACCAACATGGTATGATATGGAAATCGGCGTCGTACCAAGGTTCATTCGATTGAGTATATGAGAGGGTTCCGACCCTGGCAATTCTCAGAATCTTCTCGACATTTCGATGAGACCCCTCAAGGGTTTGTCACAGCTGCCATCTACACCAACATGAAAATTCTCGGACATCAAGAAATTAGCATGTGTACAACACCCCAGAAGCCTATTGATACGTCTGATACAAATTGATTAATGATTCTGATACCTGTTATCTATATATGAGGACCATAATCGGAAATCACCTCCGT